CACCTGCAGATTCTATTCTCTCTGCCAGACTGAAGATAAAGCAACCGTCTGCTTTTCAGACTACTGAAATTTAATACAGTACATATATACTCTATCAAATACACATATAAATACACACTAAGCTGCTAAATCCCTAGAGGAAAAGGAGCTAAAATATACTGAGCTCTACGTGTCAGGAAACAGAGATTTCATTTAATCCCCACAAACACCTTGCAATGTAGGTATTATTATTCCTATTTTTATAGATGAGAACACTGAAGCTCAGACAGATTAAATGACTTACCCAAGGTGACAAAGCTAGTAAGTAGCAGAATCAAGACTTGAACTTAGTTTTGCCTACCTCCAAAGCCTACACTGTTCCTGACTTTTTCTTCTCAGCAGTGTAACTAAGGCAACCTTCTTGGGTCTTCATTTCACCTTAATTCCTGATATGTACTTAAACGCGGGTCCTGATTTTGTATCTATAACTTCACGGAGGGACAGAGAAAAATTTTCCAGAAGATTTCTTCTTTGTCTTTTATTCACATACATTTACTTCATATTCCTGCACACATTATTTTTTTTAGGTTAAATCACTTCCAGTCAGCATTTCAGCAATTAATATATGTGAAGGGTGAAAGCTCCGTTTCCTTCTTTTAACACTTTAATAGCCATAGGTTTTGAGCAGGGTATAATTTTCTAAGCTGAGTCCTGCCATTTAAAGAGTGTTAGTGCTTAGTGCAATGCTTCACACACAGTAGGTGCAGAGGGAGAATATCTGTAAAGTTTTCTTTATTCTTCTAGTTAACTTGCTATATTTAAATCAAAAGACTTTACAGGAGTCCAATTCTAAGAATGAATTAGAATTCACATGAAAGAAATTTCGTGGAAATTTTTTTTACATGATTCAGAAAATAAAGGTAAACTGAGATATAATGATCTAGCTGTTAGGCCTCTCAGTGACTAACTAGTGGACTGTGAACTTAAGAGTTTAAAAGGCTTGGTTTTAAAATACTTACTTTTTGTTCTTCTGAATAACTTTTGCAAGTGCTTCTTGCCCTCTCTACAGAAAAAAAAAAAAGACTGAAATAACCATAAACACAGACAACTGTTTTGCTAAGGATGACTTTTTTCCTGTCTTTTATATATTAAAATATTTCTGCAATAAGTATACTTTTTTTTTTTTTTTTTTTTTTTTTTTTTGCGGTACGCGGGCCTCTCACTGCTGTGGCCTCTCCCGTTGCGGAGCACAGGCTCCGGACGCGCAGGCTCAGCGGCCATGGCTCACGGGCCCAGCCGCTCCGCAGCACGTGGGATCCTCCCAGAGCGGGGCACGAACCCGCGTCCGGACTCTCAACCACTGCGCCACCAGGGAAGCCCTACCTTATTTTTATAATTATGGAGACTGATCTGACTCTGAATAAACTGTATTTTTTAACACTTTCTATACAGTGTGGGGTTTTTTTGTTTGTTTTTTAACATCTTTACTGGAGTATGATTACTTTACAATGGTGTGTTCGTTTCTGCTGTATAACAAAGTGAATCAGCTATACATATACATATATCCCCATATCTCCTCCCTCTTGCGTCTGCCTCCCATCCTCCCTATCCCACCCCTCTAGGTGGTCACAAAGCACCGAGCTGATCTCCTTGTGCTGTGCGCCTGCTTCCCACTAGCTATCTATTTTACATTTGGTAGTGTACATAGGTCCATGCCACTCTCTCACTTCGTCCCAGCTTACCCCTCCCCTCCCCGTGTCCTCAAGTCCATTCTCTACGTCTGCGTTACAGCGTGGTTTTATTTTCCTTCTCAGATATAATCTGTAGGAATTAAGTATTCATTAATTCATGCATGTGCCTCCGGAACAACTTGTTACATAATATCAGCACATTAAAGATAATTACTTTTCCTTCCATTCAAGAATGCTTTTCGTGCTTTAGGTGGATATGTCTCTACCTTCGTATTCTTTCCAAGCAGGTGCAGGTTTCTCGTGTAATCTCTATAGAACACTGAATGTCAATCTTTTCTTGGTAAGAAGCACAAGAATGACATTTGCCCCTGACACAGCCCCAATTTATATGTCTTTCAACTTTATGTATGTTACCTTTTCAATGACACAAAAGTACTTCAATCACAGTGGAACCCAAAAGGAACGAGCTGCTTTATCCCTGTGCTAGGTGAGAGATTCAGACAAGCTGAATTTTATGGCTCCCTTCACTATTTTAGGATTTTAAAATACTTTTTTGACAAATTACTTTAGTGAAACAATGAATCACATACTGGCCTCTGCTGTGTTGAGTCCTTTTCCCAGCTCACTGTTCAAATCAACCCAAAGAAGATGCCCTTCTGATCCAGCTTAATTTAGCAAGCTATCTGATTACTTCTGGAGGAGACCAAATTCCCATAACATTAATAGTTTCTTGCTACTTGAAATTATCAAAATGTGCTGAAATAATGCAGTCAGCAAAATGTCACTGTATGACTTACATATGGATCTGCTGCAGCCTGTAAAAACACTGTCTCCATGAGGGACAGCCAAAATGAAGAGTTATGTGGGAGTAATAAAATATGGTAACTAGGCCTGCAACTTCAAGTATAAACCCAGCTGCGCATGCACATGCGCGCGCACACACACACACAGCTACAGGAAAGCCTGCTGATGATAAAAGCAGGAAAAACCCAAAGCACGTCCAGCACGAGTGCACTCTACGGCAGGACTGTCAGGGAACTGTCCTTTCAGCACCACGGCAAGAAACCCTGGCGCAAACCTCAACACCGGCAACCAAAGCCGGGCAAGTTGGGCCCTGCGAAAGATTTGTTAAAGCCCCTACAAAGAAAGCAAAATCAACTGTATGATTGTTTGTTTGTAAGCATGCTATATTCCATTTCATAATCTTTTATTAATTTAAAATAAAATCCTTCAAATATTTTGATAAAAGTTGACAAAACCCCAAATGAAAACGGAAGCCTCTCCAACTGAACCCAAGAAACGAGTAACTGACCAGCACTGTCAAGAACTGTGTTGTAGTACCCACCAGCAGCACTACTAAGAAACAACATATTTACACATACCCTGAATCAGATGTCCATAGAACACAGAACACGCTTGGAGCCCTCTCCAGGGAGAGCCTCAATTTCTAGGACAGACAATGTTTGCTGAGTACCAAGCCATCACTACTACCCGCTTCCAAGCAATCCAATTCTCTTTCAGGGAGAACTGAAGCCTTGTGGATCATGAGCTCCAAAGAAAAAATGCTGCAGTATTTCAAGAACCAGGTTACAGGTAACGTGTTACAAAGCTTTCAGCATTTTAAGTCTGATTCCCCTGAGACTTCTACCAGGATGGTGGTACCAGGTGGTAATGTTATCCAGCCATTTGCATTACACATCAAAAAAAAAAAAAACCAATTTTTTTTTTTGAGGAAAGAAAAAGAAGTCCCCTAACCACCATTATCTTCTAATACACGTGGAGAAAAGAGAAGTACAGAAAGATTGTGAAACAGTGAAAACCTACCTAAAACACCCGAAATCTCCCTTGGAAAGCTAAAACATCCCACAGCCCTAGCACACCACTACCTTTCTAAAGGCTCTCCAGGTTCAAACTCGAGAAAACGGTTATAAAAAGCACTCTCCCCCTTTGCCCCCAGAGCCCTCACCCACACTTCCTGCTTCCATCCCGGCTTCTCTGGTGCCCATTGTGCGTGCATTAAAAGCAATTTTCCCTGTTTGGTAGAGCTTGCTCCATGCTAATTATTTCTCCCTCCCCCTGAATTAGCCAGATGCAATGCAAAGTTTCTTCTACCCCTTCCCCTCCCCCAAAACAGATGCCATCCTTTTATTATGAATACCGACGCTGAACCTTGGCATCTTGGAATCTCCGGATATAAAATGTATTCCCCCATGTTTCAAAAACTGCAGTGTAAGTGAGGAAGAGGGCACAGGGTGGGGTAGTTGGAAGGAAGGCATGGATTGTAGAATCATATTTATCAGGCTGTAAAATTATTCCCACTTCATCCCACCTCGAAACTGGGGCCCTTGAAGGGGTCTGAAAGCCGTGGCTAAGCCCCCCCGAAAGTTAGCTGCCAAGTCTCCACCGGTGGTTGCTGCCGGCAAGGAGGGGATGGAGCTGAGCTCTCAGGAAAAATGCAGAGGCTTTGCGGTCCCCCAAGTACCAAGTGAGAACTAGAGAGGAGGGGTCCAAGCCTGTGGAGCTGGGCAGTCCTGCAAGCCCAAAGCTAGCAGAAGCCCAGGGTGCTGCTGCCGGTGGTAAGGTGGGGGAGGGAAGCAGAGAGGAGGAGAGGAGCAAGCTCTGCATCGGGTGGCGTAGGGGTGGGGGCGGGGGAAGGGGATGTTCTGAAAGTGATGTACTCCCTAATGCAGGAATCCTAGCCTGCCAAGGAAGGTCCCGGGGGCCCCCAACAACCCCCGAGTACCCTGTCGGGAGGGGGACGGATGCATCCGAGTAAAGGACAGGGGAGTCCTGGCTGCCCTAAGAACCCACGAGCCCCAGGCTTCTGCAGTTGGTAACAATCTGAAGCCGGATGGGGGAGAAGGATGCAGTAAGACATGGGGGAGGGGGTAGAGCTAAGGAGCTGCCTAGAAGATCCGGACGGCGCTGCCCTTCCAGTGCAACCGGGCGAGGGGCCCCGACTCTGGCCCGGCTCTGAGAGATGGGGAGGAGAGGGTGCTGCCCTACGGAAGGGGCGCCGAGGGCACGCCAGTGTCCCCCAGTGCAGCCAAGAGCGGAGGAGAGAGAGGGTGTATGGGGGTGGGGGCCGGTGGTCCTCAGTTCTCCTCAGGGATCCCCAGTAAACACGGTAGAAGGAAGCAAGACTTCCAAACACCTGTCCAAAACAGGGAGGGCACAAACCCCGCTCCACTGCCCCTGGAGCCCCACCGCGCACTCTGCGGCAAAGCCCCTGGCTGGAGGTGGGCGAGCCCCGCTCCAGGGTCCCGAGGCGAGAAGGGGAAGCCGGCGGGCGAGGAGCGGCGCCGGGGCGGGGGCTATGGGGCTACTTACGGCAGCGGCGGCAAGGGAGGCAGCGGCGGCCCTAACGCGGGGCCCGGGAGGCGCGGCCGGACTGCGGAGGTGCGGAGGATGCTGCGGGCGGGACTGCGGTCGGCGCCATCTTGGAGCGCTCCCCGCGCCCGCCCCCCGCGCCGCCGAAGTCCTTGCATAATTGATGACTCGCGCCCGCCGCGCGCCGCCGCGCGCGCCCCCGCCCCCGGGCCCCCCGCCCACCGTGCCCCCACGCCGACCCCCGGAGCGCGCCCCCTGCCCGCCTCCTGCCCCCGCTCGCGCACGCCGCCCCCGCCCGCCTGCCTGCCTGCGCCCAGCAGCCCACCTACCTCTGCAGGGCGCGCCCGCCCGCTCGCTGGCTGTCAGGCCGGCGTCCCCGCGCCGCCCGGACCGGATCCGGGGCGAGGGAGCAGGGCGCCGGCAGGGGGCGCCGCGCCGGAGCGCCTCGCGAGCGTCCCCGGGCCCGCCTCCCCGACGCCCCCGCCGAGCCGCGCGGGAGGGGCACCCGGGCCGAGCGCCGGGACGCGGCCGCTGAACGCTGGCGGGCTGTCAGCCAGCACGCGGGCGTTGAAACCCGAAAGGTGCTTTGTGGACTCGAGGGCCCCGTGACCCTTGGAAATGCCAAGTCTTACCTTTCTCCTGAACGACAGTCGCAGAAGGAAATGCCTAGTAACAGTGCAGTGCTCAGTTGTTAGAATCTCTGACATCTAAAAACACCAGGAACTCAATTTACCCGAGCTTTGGCTGCCTGAGAAAAAAACGCAGGAGTCTATGAGCAGCAGCTGGAGCCTTGTGATTCAGTGGACGCGGCTCCGGTGTGAGGAGGAGGGAGAAATCCCTTCCCCCAGGCCTGAAACTGCAATGGTCACCTTAATCCTTTTGAATCTCAGTTTGTCCATCTGTAAAGTAGGCACGATCATTTGAACTGCTTACTCTACACTCTCTTACGAAGATCTAGACAATGAATGTGAGAACTCTTAGCACTTTATTGTGCTTCTCACACATATTTCTTTTTACCGCAAGTTCACAGTTAAGAGTGAAAGAGTATGGGCAGGCCGCCGCCACTTACTGAGTACCCTTGGACGCGAACAACTCTGAGCTTCATTGTTCTCATCTGTAAAAGGGAACAATCATAGGACTGACCTGATAGGTTTGTTGTGAGAATTAAAGAGGAGAATGCATTTCACACCCTGAGAACACGATCTGGCATACATAGTGTGCCCACTACATACATTTTTAAATAGCTTTATTGAGGTATATTTGACATAGGATAAACTATGCATGTTTAGAGTGAACAGTTTTGACATATGTATGCATGCATGAAACTATCACAACCATCAAGGTAATGAACATACCCGTCACCTCCAAAAGTTTTCCCAGGCCCCTGTGTAATCCCTCTGTGCATCACTCTCCCACACTCACTGCCTCTCCAAGCAACCACAATCTTCTTGCTATTACTGTACAATAGTTTGCATTTTCCAGAATTTCAAACAAACGGTATCATACAGTATGTACTTTCTTTGTAGGGCCTCTTCTGCTCAGTTTAATTATTTTGAAATTATTCAGTTGTCTATCAATAGTTCTTTCCCTTTTATTGCTGAGTACTATTCATTATAGAGGTATACCACAATTTGCTTATCTAGTCACCTGGTGATGACATTTAGGTTATATCCAGTTTTTGCCCATTATAAATAAAGCTGTTATGAGTATTTGTGTGCAAGTCCTTGTGTGGACATATGCTTTTATTTCTCTTGGGTATAAATGTCTAAGAATGGAATGACTGAGTCCTACTGTAGATGTATATTTAACATATTAAGAAAGGGCCAAACTGCTTTTCAAAGTGGTTGTGTCATTGTACATTCTTACTAGCAGTATATGAGAGTTTCAGTTGCTCCACATCCTTGGCAACACTAGCTATGGTCAGTCTTCTTCATTTTAGCCATTCCAACAGGTAAGAAGTGTTATTACGGTTTTGACTGGCATTTCCCTAATGACTAAAGATACTGAGCATCTTTTCGTGGGCTTATTTGTCATCAGTATATGCTCTTGGGTGACATGTCTGTTCAAGTATTTTGCCTATTTTTTAAGTTGGGTTGTTTGTTTCCTATTAATGAGTTTTGAGAGGTGTTTATATATTCCAGATACAAGTCTTTTATGAGATACGTGATTTGTACATATCGTCTCCCAGTGTGGGTGTACCTTTTTATTCTCTTAAAGTCTTTCAAAGAGCAGAAATTCTTAATTTTTATGAAGTCTGGTTTATTACTTTCTCCTCTTCTATGGATCATGCTTTTGGAGTAATATATAAGTTCTTTTTTTTTGACATTGATATCTAGTGTTCCTGCACTACCTGATTACCCTTGCACCTTTGTCAAAAATCAATTAATCAAGTATGTTAAGGGTCTGATTGTGGACTCTCTATTCTATTTCATTGATCTTTTTGTCTGTCTTGACACTAATACCACACTGTCTTCATTACCCCTGCTTTATAATAAATCTTGAAGTCAAATAGTGTCAGCCCTCCGACTTTGCTCTTCCTTTTTAAATATTGATTTTGTTATTCTAGGTCCTTTGCATGGCCATATGAATTTTAGAATCAGCTGGTCAAATTCTGCAAAAAAAGCCCCCTGGAATTTTGATCAAGATTGCATTGAATCTGTAGATCAATTTGGGGAGAATTGATATCATAACAACACAGTGTATCATTCCATTTATTTCAGTTCTCTTTAATTTCTCTCAACAATGTTCTGTAATTTTCAGGATATGGTTTATTTTTCACCTTTCTGGGATTTATTCCTAAATATTTCATATTTTTAATGCTATTAGTGTTTTTATTTTTTAGCTGCTCTGCAAGGCATGTGGGATCCTAATTCCCGACCAGGGATCAAACCCATGCCCCCCTACAGTGGAAGCTCAGAGTCCCAACCATTAGACCACCAGGGAAGTCCCAGTGTTTTTATATTTTAATTTCTGATTATTCATTGGTAATATATAGAAGTACAATTAATTTTTATATATTGACCTTATGTATTGCAACTTTGCTAAATTCACTTATTAGCTATTGTAGATTTCTTTGTAGATTCCATCAGATTTTCTACAGAGACAATTATGTCATTGGCAAATAAAGAGTTTTGCTTCTTCCTTCCATTCTGAATGCCTTTTATTCCTTTTTCTTACCTTATTGCACTGGCTAGGACTTCTAGTACAATGTTGCATAGAAGTGGTTAGAGCAAAAATCTTCCTCATCTTAGGGGGAATACATTCAATCTTTCATCACTAAGTATGACGTTAACTGTAGGTTTTTCCTAGATACCCTTTATCATGTTGAGGAATGTCTCTTCTTTTCCTAGTTTCCTGAGAGTTTTTATCAGGAATGAATGTTGAATTTTCTCAATCCTTTTTCTGCATATGGCTTTCCTTTTTAGTCTGATAATATGGTGAATTACATTGATTGATTTTCAAATGTTAAACCAACCTAGGATAATGTATTGATCATGGTGTATTATCCTTTTTATATATTGTTGGATTTGATTTACTAACATTTTGTTAAGAATTGTTGCATCTGTGGGACTTCCCTGGTGGCACAGTGGTTAAAAATCTGCCTGACAATTCAGGGGACACGGGTTCAAGCCCTGGTCCAGGAAAATCCCACGTGCCGCGAAGCAGCTAAGCCCGTGCGCCACAACTATTGAGCCTGCACTCTAGAGCCCGTGAGCCACAACTACTGAGCCCGTGTGCCACAACTACTGAAGCCTGCGTGCCTAGAGCCCGTGCTCTGCAACAAGAGATGCCACCACAATGAGAAGCCTGTGCACCACAATGAAGAGTAGCCCCCACTCGCCTCAACTAGAGAAAGCCCGCGCGCAGCAACAAAGACCAAATGAAGCCAATTAAATAAATAAATCTTAAAAAAAAAAAAAAAAGACCAGGATTCAAAAAAAAAAAAAAATGACCTTCTTCATCCTTGGCCACATTTTTTGTTCTGAAATTTACTTTGTCTAACATAGACAAATACTGGCATGGTATTTCTTCTTACATTTTTAAAATTTTAACCTATTTATATCTTTATATTTAAAATGGCTTTCTTTTGGGCAACATATGGTTGGGTCTTGTTCCCCACTCCCCACCCCTGCCAACTAACAAGTTATGTTTTTCAGTTGGGGTGGTTAGACAATTTACAGTTCGTGTGATTATTAATATGGTTGGGGTTAAATCTAACATTGTGCTCTTTGTTTCCTATTTATTCTTTCTATTCTCTGCTTCTTCTCTTTTTCTGCCTTATATTGATCAATGGGAATATACTTTATGAGTCCATTTCATCTACATTGTTGACTTATTGCCATAACCCTTTGCTGTGTTATTTTGCTACTATATAAGTTTAAGTATTTGCCTTAACTTGGGTACTGACTTAAACTGTAACTTCTTTGACCACTTGGGCTCTGTGTGCATTGCATACAGTAGGCTTTGAATACATACTCATTGAATGAATGAGCATTTATTTCTTCTCATCTTACATCAACATTTAGAGATTACCTGCTTAGGGGGCTCCGGATAACTGAACTAGAAGTTGGTTTTGATTGGAGCAGGCCTCATACCAGGTGAAGAGACAGAGAACTGATTTCCGATATGGTAACTATATCAAGATGATTGTAAAGAGAAGGAAAGGAAAAGAAATCCACAAAAAATGGTTAAAGTAGAATTACTAAAGACTTTATGTAGTATAATTTATCAGGAAGCCAATGTGTAAATAAGTTAGAGAAGTTGAGGTTACAGATTTTTTTAAAATTTAATCCCATGACATAGAGAAACTCTTCTTACTTGCCTTTGTAAATGGTTTTTGCTTTGCATTTTTGAAGCTCTATGGTTGTTATACTCAGGATGTATGTCTTCCTTATTAAACCTGCTTTTCCTGAAAATCAGACCCTTTGGAGCTATCATTAGACATTATTAGCCAAAGAGTGAAAGAGGACAGAGTTCTATATCCTTTCTCCAATAATTTCATGAACATGGAAATTCAGCCTCATGGGATTACATGGGGTTCATGTAATAGAATCTGTTACTTTTAAGCTCCGAGTAGCTAAACTTACAAACTTTTCAAAATTTGAGAATCTTTGCTGACTT